AGTTCAGAGTTGACCTTTTAACTACTCTAGGAATGTTGTTCCCAACACGGCTCAGAAACCCTGTTGCTATCTGAAAGGCCCATTTCCCTGCTCTCTCCCCCGCGCCTTGCCTTTCATGGGCTGTCTCTGACCCTGGCTTCTCCACCTGGTGCAGACCCTGCCAGCGAGGGATCTGGCGGCTTAGCTGCCTCTTGTGCACCCCACCCCGGTAGACCCAGGGCCTGGCATGCTCTCCTGAGACTGGGCACAGTGGTGCCATCTGCACCGGTGACTCTCTCTTCCTGTGGCTTGCCAGGACTTGATCATCTTCCCAGACGACTGTGAGTTCAAGCGGGTGCCGCAGTGCCCCAGCGGGAGGGTCTACGTGCTGAAGTTCAAGGCAGGGTCCAAGCGGCTTTTCTTCTGGATGCAGGTACGGGGCAGCTCTTGGGGTTTTGCCTTTTTGTTGCCCTGTGATTCAGTTAGGAACTTGCTTGCAGTGTGGTGCAATTGGCTGTTACAAACCAGCGGGCACCGGCCACACGGCCTGAGATGCCACCCCAGGACTGTGGTGCGTGTTCCCTGGGGCCGAGGTCCTCTCCCAGAGTACAGCGGCTCCAGGCTGGGCTCCGGGTACCCAATTGCGGTGTGGAATTTCCAGCCAGACAGGCATGCTGACCCTGGTTCCAGCGATGCCCAGTGCCCTGTCTGCCCCTTGCTGTGGGTCACTGAGGCCCCCGCAGCAGAGGCAGGGGCTCCTGTGTGGCTCACAGAAACGAAGCATTCTCCTCTCCCTCTGCACAGCCCTGCCCCTTCCCTGGCAGTGTGTCCTGGAGGCCAGGGGTATCAGCGCCCAGGGTTTCTCTTACCCACAGCTGCAGAGCGTCCGTTGGGTCCAGAGGCCGTTGCTCATTCTGCCATCTGTCAGTGACCATTGAGCTTGTTGCTGTTTTTTGTGCTGTTACAGGCAGTGTTGCAAAGAATTGCCTGGTACACAGATTATTTTCCATAAGCCAGTATAATCTGGAGGTGAAAACTGGTGGCGGGCCTGTGGTCAGAAAGCGTGTGCATGCGTTTGCAGTGTGGAGAGAGAATGCCATGCCCTCTGCCAGAGGTGGAGCTGCTGTCCCCACCCCCAACCTTGGCCCTTTCGAGAGCAAGGTGGTCCTGTCTGAGAGGCCTCTGGGGGGCAGATGGTCCGTGTTGCTGCTCACCTCTGCAGGTACTGTGCACGTGGCCTGGGAAACGAACAGGCATAGCCGAGTTCCAATTAAACTTTATTCGCAAACACAGATGGGGAGCACAGTTTGCCACCTGCTGGTGTAGAACGTGTTTTTCCACGGTTTTGCCAAGAAGTAGTGTCCAACTGTTACCACCCTCTCCCCTTTTTTTCCCGATTTTCCTGTTGATGACTTTTAAGTCCCTGTCCCCGCTTTGCCATGAGGGCAGGGACTCCCAGTGTCCCTGGCGCCCTGCTGTTCGGGGTGTGCCCATGAGGGCGGGGACTCCCAGTGTCCCTGGCGCCCTGCAGCCTCCATAGCTGTTGGAGGTGTGCGTGGGTGCTCTGCTCCCAGCTCTGTGTGCTCGCAGGTTGATGCTTCTGACCCTGGTCTGTGCGCGTGTGGGGACACACACGTGTGCTCGATTGTGGGGGCCTGCCGTGGCTCTGGGCTGTGGTGTGCTGAGCGGGCCAGTTCGCTGCCTTCCACTGGTTGAAGGAAGGAGACGGATGTGTAAAGAACCACACCCCAGAGGGCAAGAGGGTGAGAGGACTTGGCTTGGCTTGGCAGCAGCCAAGTGCCTTCGAAGCCCTAGGCTCCCCATCTGTGAAATGGGTGGAGGGGGACAGGGCACACCCAGCATTGCGGCAGACTGGGACAGGGCGCGGAGCATTGTGCTCAGAAGGCACCACTGCCGTCCCCTCACCTGCTGGGCTGAGTCCTGTCTCCTCAGCACTGTGTAGCCAGGTACACGCGCCTGTGCCTCTCAGGTCCCTCCTCACCTGTAAGCCAGCTCAGGATGGCTGTGGTGGCCCTCAGAGTGAGCTGGCACCGGCTCCTGCCCTTACGTGTCCTTTCTCTGCAGGAACCCAAGACAGACCAGGATGAGGAGCACTGCCGGAAAGTCAACGAGTATCTGAACAACCCCCCAATGCCTGGGGCGCTGGGGGCGAGCGGGAGCAGCGGCCACGAGCTCTCTGCACTAGGCGGTAACTGTCAGCTCTGTCACATGAGCTCAGGGTTTCCTGGGAGGCCAGAGTCTACTGTGGATGACTCGCTCCCTCCGCACAGGTTGTTTGGAAGTGGAAATAGAAGATTCTAAGTTAGACACCCTGTTAGCTCCCTGGGTCACTCCCTAGTCCCATCTTCATGGGGTAGGACGGGTCTGTGTCCCACCGTTGCCTCACTTCAAGTGGTGCCGCCTGTAGAGTTCAGAGGCAGCCGAGTGGGGTGCTCAGCAGAGGCCCAGGCAGCACTGTGGGGCCAGAGTGGGGCTGGCTGGGGCGGTGCTGTGGGGCCGGCGTGGATCTGGCTGGGGCAGGCCCCCCTGAGCTACAGTGTTTTCCAGGTGAGGGCGGCCTGCAGAGCCTGCTGGGGAACATGAGCCACAGTCAGCTCATGCAGCTCATCGGACCAGCCGGCCTCGGAGGACTGGGTAACGTGTGCCTCCCGGGCTCTCAGGCAGCTTCCGCTGGGAATGCTTTGAGGCCCTGTCTGTTGTCCTTTAAACTTTTGCTAGCTGTCTGCGTGGTGTCGGGGAGCCTGTGTGTCCGCAAGCTGGTTCCCCTTTGGGAATGCGCTTGTTTGCCTGTGGCTAGAGCTGGGTGGGCACAAGCTTCTGGGCCCCTGGTAAGGACCCCGGCTGGGTACTTCTGAGGAGGATGGCTGGCTGAGCGGCGGGGCTGGGGGACTGGAGGGAGCTGGGGTTCCTACCCTGGGTCCCTTGGCCCCATATGGCTGCCTGCCTGCTGCTAGTTGATGGAGTATAGACCCGTGTGCTTGGCCCTTCAGAAATACTTGTCCCTTTGGGTGGGATCTGGACTGAATCTGCTTTTAATCTAAGCACATGAATTGTGTCATGGGATGGAACAGAAGTGACCTTGCTTCCAGAACACAGCTGCACGTGTCTGCCCGCCCCCCGCCCCGCGGCTCCTCCCGGCCTGTGGTCCCCACCGCCCCACTTCACCCCGCGGCTCCTCCAGGCCTGTGGTCCCCACCGCCCCGCTTCACCCCGCGGCTCCTGGCTTTGGTGTTGGGAATTCCTGCTCCTCTGGCCTGGGGAGGGGCAGGCTCTTCCTGGTGGGCTAGAGGGCATAAGAGCTCACATTTCCTTGCCCCCGCAGGTGGGCTGGGGGCCCTGACTGGACCCGGCCTGGCCAGTTTACTGGGGAGCAGCGGGCCTCCAGGGAGCAGCTCCTCCTCCAGGTGAGCGCCATGGCTCCAGCCCCGCCATGCGGGCGCCACGGTGTTATGGGAGGGACAGCGGGGAATCCTGGCCTGGCACCTTGGACCCTGTGAGTAGGCCCTGCTGTGTAGGGGCGTGTCCGCTCCAGCGGTGCCCTCTGTCTTCGCAGCTCCCGGAGCCAGTCGGCAGCGGTCACCCCGTCATCCACCACCTCTTCCACCCGTGCCACCCCAGCCCCTTCTGCTCCAGCAGCTGCCTCAGCAACTAGCCCGAGCCCTGCGCCCAGTTCTGGGAACGGAGCCAGCACAGCAGCCAGCCCGACCCAGCCCATCCAGCTGAGCGACCTCCAGAGCATCCTGGCCACGATGAATGTACCGGCTGGGCCAGCGGGTGGCCAGCAAGGTAACGTGTGCTGTCGCCCGGAGCTGGGGGGCATGGGGCCTGCTGTCCCTGGCAAGCTGACCGTCCAAGGCGTCTGCCTCTTGTGCGCGCCTGGGGTGCTGGGGCCATGGGCTGAGCCCCTGCTTGCATACCCTCCATGTGGGCACTTAGGCTGGCATCGAGCTGATGGCCGTGTTCTTGTGTCCCAGTGGACCTGGCCAGTGTGCTGACGCCAGAGATCATGGCTCCCATCCTCGCCAACGCGGACGTCCAGGAGCGCCTGCTTCCCTACTTGCCATCTGGGGAGTCACTGCCGCAGACCGCGGAGGAGATCCAGAACACCCTGACCTCGCCCCAGTTCCAGCAGGTAGAGGCCGGGCCCAGGGTGCCCTCCGCTGTGTGCTCAGGGAGTGGGCAGGAGGGAGGAAGAGGCCCTGCCCCACCTTCATCGTGGCCGTGCCTCGTGTGCCCGACCCCCAGAGCTGGCAGCTCAGCAGTGCGGCTCTGGGCCGCAGCCCAGGGTGGAGCTCAGCCCTCGCCTGGCTCTTCCTTGCAGGCCCTGGGCATGTTCAGCGCAGCCTTGGCCTCGGGGCAGCTGGGCCCCCTCATGTGCCAGTTCGGTCTGCCTGCGGAGGCCGTGGAGGCCGCCAACAAGGGCGGTAAGTGGCTGTGCCTGCACCTCCGGGCCAGAGCCAGAGGCAGGGTCCATTCCTGTCCCCCTGGATTTGCGAAGTGGGGCTGAGGGGGCGAAGGTCACAGCCCTTCTGCCCTTGATCCCACCGCTTTGATCCCCAGTTCTGGGCAAGGGTTAGACGCCACCTTGTGTCTTTAACGTGTTCTAGATGTGGAAGCGTTTGCCAAAGCCATGCAGAACAGCGCCAAGCCTGAGCAGAAAGAGGGCGACACAAAGGACAAGAAGGACGAAGAGGAGGACATGAGCCTGGACTGAGCCACGCGCCGTCCTCCGAGGGACTGACTCGGCGCTCGCAGTGCGTTGCACAGCCTCACCGCCCACCCACTGATAATAAAGTCTTTTCTTTTACCCGCCAACGCCTCCTTTCTTTGCCCAAAGGAGTTTTGGCTGGACAGATGCTAGCGTGAGGAGCTGCTGTAGGATCCCAGAGAAACTTACTTGACCTAACGACGGAAAATGGTCACCCCAGGAAGAGTCTGGTGCCTCTGTCCAGGCCAGTTCCAGACCTGTCTTGAGACTCCGTATTTAAGTCAACATTCAGTTACACAGAAGTTACTTTTTAATGTTTAAGGAGGAACTAGTGATTACAAATCTCTCACAATTAAAAATAGGTGGAAGGGCCAAGTATAAAAACGTTTTGCAGTATTTTATTCTTTCATTTAAAAAGATATAATTTAAACCATCTCCGGAAACAAGATCTGTCACCCATAGAGCCTAGAATCCCAATAAACACCTATGAGGTGAGCACAAAGGGCAGTGAGAGGAGTCACCTGCAAGGGCCTAACCAGAGGCCAGGGTTGGCAGTGCCCTAGGCGGCTGGGCAGCCACTGGCCCCCACTGCCCCGTGGACCTCTGCAGAGCGAGTTATGGTGACGGGGGCCCGGTTCACTGTCAGCCGCCTCATGCAGCCACGGTAGGCGGGGGGCCAGGGCTGCATGGCCGTGGGCTCTGGGGGCGCAGGGAAGATGGAGGAAGGCTGGTTGGAGGGCAGCTTGGGACCCACAGCCCCTTCCCAGACATATGTCCCCCACCCAGCCTCTGTCTTGTTCTACACCACAGGAGAGTGGGAGGGGGGTGGGTTACCCAGCCTCTAGTCCTGAGGGGCAGCTTCCCCACGCTTGATCAAGGCTGCACTCACCAGGCAGGCCCCCGAGGTGCAGAGGGGCTGGGGCACCAGCCGCAGCCGCCAGCGAGGAGCCCACGGTGTGGTTGCTCTGTGCGTCCACCTCTAGCCGGAGCACGTTCCCGCCTTTCATCACTGTGGGAGAAGGTGGACTCCTGAGGCCAGGTAGTCCCCAGCCAGGCCTCTCTCCAGCCCTGAAAGAAGCTGCCCCACCCAGAGTCCCACTTGACTCCCTCTCTGCAGAGGGGTGGGGGTGGGAGTGGCAGAGTGCCCTGGCCACAGGAGGGGCCTCACCTGCCAGCCGGTGCCACTGGCCGTCACACAGCACTGAGGGGCGGGTCACTGATGTGGAGAACTCCCCTGCTCCATCGTCCGCCCGCAGCAGGACCTGGCGGGGTAGGAAGGGAGGGTCAGGGCATGCCCCCAAGGTCACCAGAATGGAGAGGCAAACCCAGCCCTGGTGTGCCACCCCTGCCAGGCTTACTTGCTTCTCAGTCACCTGCAGCTGCAAATAGGGGGGTGTCCGGGCCTGGCCCAAGTGGAAGATCAGGCCGGTGACTGCCAGGGGCCGCACCTCCAGTTCCAGGCCCACGTCAGGCAGTGTAGCTCCTGGGAGGTCTGCAGGGAGAGGTTGTGATAGAGAAGGAAGGGGGGGCCCCTCCCCAGAACCTCCCGGAGCCCGCTGCCCTGCCCTGCTGGGGCCTGGGATGCCAGCACCCACAGACCTAAAGTGATAACTCCCCCGCTGCCTGGGAAGAACAGGCCCGCCTCCAGGGGGCCCGAGATGCAGGGTGTGACCCCTGCCATCCGTGTGGGGGCCCCCAGGGGCCTCCCGTGCAGCCTCAGTCTCTTCACACAGCCGCTGAACCCGACGGTCACCTATAGGGAGCAGACGGGGCAGGGATCAGAGCCCAGGGCAGCTGAAAGGGGTGAACAGTGGGTGGGGAGTGAGGGCCGGGGCAAGACGGTTCTCACCGGAAGTTTGGAGCTGTGGTTGCTGGCCGGGAGGCCCCCCACAAAGAGGGTGTGGGGCTGGGGGTGCTCTGCCCCCTGGTGCTGCCAGCGTGGCCCCTCCTGGCTCCAGGCCCGGGCCCCGTCCGTCACCAGCAGGATCCGGTTCTTCTCCCAGTGCACGGAGACCTGGGGGCAGGAGGCGGGTCAGGGTAGGGCCGCTAGGCCCTGCCCACCTTCCTTCTTCTTGGCCCATACCTTGTGCCAGTGGCCAGGCCAGGAGCGCTGGCGGCTCTGGGCGCGGAGCCGAGTCCCAAGGCCTTCCATCTGTGCGACGAAGTGTCCATTGCTCAGGAAGAGTGCCAGGGAGGGGCTGCTGGGCCTCAGGCTCGCAGCGAAGAGCAGGAGGCCTCGGGGGCTTCGCGGGAGGACGCGCATGGAGAGGCTGGGCCTGGAAGCGGAGCTGGCGTCAGCCTGCGCGGCCCCTCTCAGCCCACCCCAGCTGTATCTGGCCTTACCAGTTTCTATGTGGGGCCAGGATGCCCACAAACTCCAGGTGACTGGACAGGGAACCCCCAAACTGGTAGGTGTCTCGGGTGGTCCTGAGGTGTGCGGGCAGCATGCAGGCGGGATCCTGGGTGGGCTGACGACTGCGGCGGGAAGCCTGGGGGCATGGATGGTGAATGCAGGGGCTGCCCGCACGGGGGCCACCCTTCCAGCCACACCAGCCCTGCCCGCTCACCCCTGGGGTGCCCACCTTCCGGGCGGTGGTCCGCAGTCCTCTAGGCCCCAGGTCCAGGGTCTGGGCTTGCAGGGTGGGTGCACAGCCCGTGCTCACGTTCACGCTGCCCAGGTTCTGCTGCAGGTCGAATACGCGCTGTGGGCCCAGGAGCCTGTGCAGGGCGGACAGGCGGTCAGCACTGCAGAAGGCCAGCTGGGGCCTTGCCCCCCAGTGCCCACCGGGCTCACCGCTGCACGAAGATGTTGCTTATGCAGCCACTGAAGTGAAAGGTGTCAGGCTCAGGCAGGCCTCCCAGGAGGAGACTCGGGGGCCCCTCAGGCTGCGGCTGGGGCACTGGGGGTGGTCCCCGGTGGGGCTTCATCTGCTGGAGCTGGTCGTCGACATAGAGCCAGACCCTGGGGGGCGGGAGGCCGGAGGCTCGGTTCTTCCGTACCCTGCCCAACCCCACCTCAGAGGAGACAGAGGTCCGGGCAAGTGCAGGCGGGTGTCCCTCCAGACCTTCATACGAGGGCCCAGCGGCCAGGCTCACCCTGTGGCATTGCTGTAGAAGGCGACGTAATGGGGGGCGCCATCGGCGAAGCCCCCCTCAGCTATCACTTCAGTTCTCAGGAGCTGTAGGGTCACACGGCCCTGCCGCAGGGACACCTGGCATGGCCCATCCTGGGGACAGCAGCCAGGTCAGCTGGCCAGTCTGGGGACCCAGACTCATTCCAGCCACCCCAGTCCCGACTGCCCCGACGGCCGCTGCGGGTTGGGGAGTGGGCACGGGTGTGAGGTCTCACCGGGGATGCCCGGTAGTAGAGCAGGGCACTGTCCTGGGCACTGTGGAAGCCAAAGCCGGAGTAGACGTCGCCAGTGAGGGGCGCCACATTCGAGAGCGCCAGGTGAAGGAAGCCGTGGCCGTGGAAAGTCATAGCACGCCCCACCTGCGGGGAGGCCGTCCCTGAGTGCCCGCAGGTACCCCTGCATGTCCACAGATGCCACCCCCAGCCCGGGAAGGGCTGCTCACCAGCAGGTCAGCGGTGCAGCCGGCGCTCACGCCTGTCGTGTTCAGCCGCTTGAGGTCCACATACTTGCCCAAGGCCTTGATCCCTTTGACGCAGCCACGGACTGAGCCTCCCATGGGGAAGAGCCGTCGCAGGCTGTGGGGATGCGGGGATGCGGGGATGCGGGGACACGGGGACACGGGGACACAGGGATGTGGGTCAGGGCGCCGCCTCTAAGCCCAGCCTCCCACCCCGACAGCCTGGCCTCGGAGCCCCAGCTGCAGAGTGCTCACCTCGGGGGCAGCTGGTCGGGCGGCGCGCCCCCCAGGTAGTAGGCGTCGGCCAGTTCCAGAGCATTGTCCTGCTCCACGCTGAACACCGTGGCCCGCTCCACACGCACCAGCACACGCTTGCGGCTGCCCCCCAGCAGGAACACCTGGATCTGCAGGACCAGTGCGGGCTCCAGGGCCAGCTGTGTCCCTGTGGCCTGCCCCGCCCCCATCGTCCCACCTCCTCTCCCTGCCACCATGGCCCCACCCTGGCCCTACCGCCTTGCTGGCCGAGGTCAGGGGCGGTGGGGTCTGCAGCGGGACAGCCTCTTTCAGGCCAGCGCCAAAGTCATACAGCAGCACAAGGCTGCCTTCTCGCACGGCCAAGCACAGGAACTGGCTCTGCAGAAACAGGGCAGGGTTAGTGTGGGGCAGGATCCGTGCAAGTGGGGACAGTGAGACAGGTGTGCCTGGCATACCTGCTGCTTCAGGAAGAAGAGGACCCCACTGTAGGATACGAGTCGCAGCTCCTGTTCAAAGCGCTTGGTGGTGCTGATCTGACCATCGAAGCTGATGCGGGCAAAACCGGTGCCATCCAGGTAGGAGCCGTCTGTGAGCCACGGGTCCCCGGTGGACTTGGAGCTGCAGGTCAGAGGTTCTGGGGTCAGCGGAGGGTGGGGTGGGTGGAGACGGGGAGGGCAGGCCACACGCACCGGGCACAAGGCCTGTCCACAGCCGTGTCCAGCTGGAAGGTCCCCTCGAAGTTGTAGAGGCTGACCACCTCCTCGTTCAGCGTGTCCATCTCGATGCAGCCCCGGTAGCCAGGGAAGCGAAGCAGGGGAGGCGGCTGTGGGCACAAGGCTGGGTCAGGGCACCTGGCCTGAGGCATCTCCCCTCCAGGATGGACCAAGGGGACTTCAGACTACAGCAGGACGGACTGAGGCGAGATACCAAGAGAACCCACGGCTCTCCAGGACACAAGTGACTCGGGGCTGTGGAGCCCTTCCCAGGCTGCCCCCGGCCAGGCGGGCTCACCGTGAAGGTACTGGGGTAACCCCCGACATAGAAGACAAAGTCGTCTGGCCGCAGGTTGAGCAGCCCCTCTGCCCCAGGGGCCACCGTGTCACCCTTGGTTTCCTGGATCATCTGTCTCTCCACTGTGACAGACATGTGGCCAAACTGGAGAGTCCTGCACGGAGAGGCGAGGGGTGGCGGGTGGGCACGGAGAGGCGAGGGGTGGCGGGTGGGCACGGAGAAGTGAGGGATGGCGAACGGGCATGGGCCCTACAGTTGGAGGCATCCGGACTCTCTCCAGGGCCTCCCACCTGTCCAGGCTGACAGCTGCAAACTGCTCCCCAATGTCCTCGTCAATGCTTAGGACTGCAGGGCCCGCCTCGCCCAGCCGATACACCCAGTGCACCTTCTTGTCACGCAGAGACACACCCATGTAGTCCCCAGTGGCCTGCAGCAGTGACAGACACACAGTCGGGACGGGGACCAGGTACCACCCATTTCCAAACAGATGCTGAGCTCGGGCCCCATCCACCCAGCCAGCCCGGTACCTGGCGGCTGCCCATGTACATCACAAAGTGATCCTCGGTACCCTGCCCAGGCTCAGGCTCTGGGCCCTGCAGGTAGAACTTGAGGGCAGTGTAGGCAGCAAGGTCGGCAAGATCCCGTGGGGTGCGCAGCTGCACCCCTGAGCGCCCGTTGAACTTCATGGGCACCTTGACCTGCGGGGCACAGTCCATCAGCATTCATCACCACCCTCCCTGATGTGCACCTTCCCCTGGGACTCTCACCCACCTTGCTGGCAGCCCCCCGGGCCTGGGCAATAAGCTGCCGCACACGGCCGATGCTGGCGGACAGGACCAGGCTGGCGTTGTGCGCCCCACGGTTCTCCAGGACACTCAGCTTGGCCAGCAGCTGGGGCAGCGTCTTCTCCAGGCTGGACACTGCACAGAGGGAGGGGTGGCCCTGAGACTTTTGCCCCCCACCCTGCCCCGCCTCCCTCAGGGGCACCGCGAGGGCCATGGGCACACCTGAGCGGCCTGCGTCGAGCACCGCCTGGCCCAGGTCCTGGCCCCGCAGGCCCTCATACTGGCCCTGCCACCGCTCCACGTTCTCCTGCATGGCCTGCAGCTGCGACTGCACACGGGCAGCCATGTCCTGGGCTTCAGCGGCCACAGCCTTGGCGTGTGCGATCTTCTTGCTTGTCTCGTCTGTGGTGGGCAGAGGGCAGGCTCAGCAGAGGCCAGCAGGGACCATTCTGGCTTCATGTCCCCAAGTCCTTTTGTCGGGCCAGCAACAGGGACATCCAACCCCCTACGGATCGTGTGAGACCCTCACACCCCACAATGCAGTGCAATCCAGACCCATCCCACCAGACGCCCCCTCCATGCCAGGACAGGCACCCAGCCTCCCAGGCCATAGCTGGTCCCTGGACATGTGCCCTGTGTTACCTCCCACCGCCTGGCCCCACCATCTCTCCTGGGCTTGCTGGGAACAGTCAGCAGCCTCAGGGGTCCCTCAGAAACCGGGTGAGGCCACATCATCCTCTGTTCCAAGCCTCGCAGGGTGGGAGCCCTGGTCCTCACCGCCCAAGGTCTTGCCAGCCCCTTGGTCCCAGCCACGCTGACCACTGTGCCCTCCTGGGCGCTCTTCCTGCAGGGTGTGCCCCAATACCCCCGGCCCAGGCCTACAGCCTCCCACCTACACCTCCACTTCTACCCAAAGCACTTCCAAGCCTGCCAGCCTCCCGACGGCTGGGGCTGTTGTGTGCTATCTGCAGCCCTGGCACCTCCCTGGCAGGCGTTCTGTGTCTGGCCCCAGCTGCCCACTGTGGGGGTCTCTTCAACAGCACAGTGAGCGGTCAGCAGCCATGTGTGGCCAATGCCAGTGTCACTGAGCCTCGTGGTCAGCCGGCTGCGGGAGCCTCGCCCAGGCTCCGCGTACCTGTGTCCATAGCAAGCATGGTCTGCGCCGCCTGGATGCGCACCTCCAGTTGGTCCTTCTTGGCCCGGACGTCTCGGAGCTGGGTCCCGGCACCCTGGAGGGCAGCCCACACTGCGGGGGAGGCAGCTTCAGCTCCCAGGCAGCTTCACCCCCAATATACAAGTGCAGCCCACCTCCACCTTTCTGACCCCAGGAGGACCCAGGCTGACACACAGGCAGACAGACGGACAGGGACACTCAGACATGGAATCCCTTGGCCTGTGGGGAGGTGTTGAGTCTCAGTGCAGCCTCCGTTCCCACTGCAGGCATAGCTGTCCCCATCGCACAGATGAAACGATAGAGGCTCAGAAGAGACAGCCCTCTGGTTCTGGCAGCTCACACCGTTCTCATTGCGCAGCTTGGCACACATGTGGCCCTCGAGTCAGCAGAGCAGAGGCCACGTACCATCTTGCCCTGTGCCCTGTGCCTCAGCTGGTGCCTCAGTGGCAGCCAGTGCCTTGCAGGAGGCTGCTCCTCCCTGGGCTCCCCTGCAGGGCTCCCTGGGGCTGACACACAAGCAGCTGGGGAGCCACCTCCAAAGCCCTCCCACCCCGAGCCACGCTGCGGCGACCCACAACCCCACGCGTGCATGTGGCTGGGGGCTGAGGGTCCCTGGGAGCTTAGATGCCCAGCAGGCCCAAGGGCCCCCATCGGAGCCCAGCACTCACCGAGGCCCAGCCTCCGCTGCTCCCGGAGCACGGCCTCCTCCAGTGCACTGCTGTTTGCCAGGAGCTGCCGGGCTAGGTCCACCAGGCCCTGCCGCACCACTGTCTGTGGATGCAAGGACAGACCACGGCTCAGACGCGTGGGCCGGGGCTGCGGGAGGTGCAGGCGGTGGGGGCGCTCCTGCTGGGGCTGAGAGGAAGGTAGGGGCCTCACCGCCCACGTGTGGTCTGCCTGCTGCAGGGCCTGGTCAGCGGCGTCCTCGGCAGCCTGCACGGCCTGCAGGATGCGGCTGTAAGCGCTGGAGGCCTCGATGGCCCTCTGGGTAAGGCGGTCCTGGTTGATGTCCAGGATGATGCTGTAGTGGAAGGGAAGGTCGAAGGAGCAGGTAAGCACGGGCAAGCAGACACGCTCGGCCTGGCTCTCCAGCCTCCTGCGCTCACGGTCAGCCGCACCCACGCCCGCCCGCCAAGTTCCGCCTCCAGGCCTTTGCCCATGCCTGTCGTCTGCTGGGTGTACTGCTCCTGCCTGCTCCTGTCACTCTGGGCCCCAGCTTGCCATGAAGCTGAGGAAGGCCTGGCTTCTTTGAGGACAACGGCCTCAGCCCCTAGGAGCATTCCCAAGGCGGCCCTGGGCCCTCCCAAGGCCCAGGCTGCATCCCCAGGGTGGGCGCAGGGCCCCTCCTCTCCTGGCCACGCACCTGGACAGGTTGAGCGCCAGCTGGTCCAGCTGCTGTGCATGGGCCTCGGCGGCCTCCACCAGACGCAGCTTGCTGCCCGCTGGGGAGAAGGTCTGCATCCTCTGCAGCAGTGGGGTCCGAGCCCCGTCCAGGCTGGCGGCGAGGCGCTCTAGCTCCTGGAAGTTGAGTGGACTTAGCAGCCCCTCATCCTGCTCACAGCCACCTGATCCACGACCCTGAGGGTGGGCTCTGCACGCAAGTGCGCACACAAAGCTGCCCACGGGCCTGGGAGGGAGTTGGCCATGGATAGGGTGGTGACAGGGGTCAGGGGCTGCACTCACCTCCTTGGCCTGGTCCAGGCTGTGCAGCAATCTGAAGACGCTGGCCAGGGTGTCACTAGCTGCATGCAGAGTGGCCTTCAGGGTGGCATTGTCCCGGGACAGCTCCTGCTTCCTTTGCTGAAGGCAATGCAGGGGAGTTGGGGACAACAAAGGGTAAAAAAAGATTAAAGGATATGATGGGGTGGACAGTGGGGCAGGGAAGGGAGAAGAAAAGAGAGTGAGTATGGGGGGTGAGGGGGG